GCTCCTATATTAGCATATGCCCATTTCTATATATATATATATATATATATATATATATATATATTGGCTGATTGGCTCTATGGACCCATGAGGGAGGCATGGCTTGCATTATTGAGTATGGCATTCGAATATAATAATATTTAATTTAAAAAAAAATTACCTATCAAATTTATTTGTTAGAGAAAAAAAGATTCTGGCGAACGACGCAGTTAAAAGGGAGAGCCAATAGGCATCAAAAGTCGTGCCATCCCGTTGCGCCGACTTGGCACGATTGACTGCATGAAAATATGGGATTTGTCTGGCTTTAGCGAGACGTTGTCTCGTCAAATAGCCACGGCCGAGTATCTTATCAACATACTTTTATCACTTTTCAATATTGTAAGAGCACTTTTCAACATTGTAAAATGAGATATAATATTATATTCCTATGATCAAAATATGTTTAGTCAGAGCAAATCGTTTGGTCGGGAGACATTGTCGAACAGTTGATAGGTGAGACAGATTCAGCTAGCAGGGATTTGGTCATTCTAATAATTATCTTGACACTTATGATAATCGATTATAAATATTTCATAATGTAACTTCAATATATTATAACAATGAAAATAATTACATGTAAATGAAGGATTTTTTTTTTTTTTTTTTTGGGAAAAGACTGTGAATTGATGCTTGCCGAAAGGTTCGGGGCGGTAGAGTCATAAATTTAGCGTCTTAGTGTTACGCAAAAAACCTAGCATAAACTCGGGTAGCTAAAGAGAAGTAGGAGGAGACACCTCAATTTTTACGTGGAAAATCCTGAAAAAGGGAGAAAACAAGGGAGTCTAACCAGTTGAAATAATCCACTATGAATGATGAGTTGAGTACACATGTCTATTATTCTTCTGAAGTATGAAACATGGAGTTACAAAGATTATCATAATAAATGTACAATAGTGGTTCGTTGATAATAACAATAGTGTGATCACAAAGAATGTATTGCTCGATAATAATATGTTACAAGAGCCGTAGTCGATTGCTATGGAGACAGTAGTTCGTCGTGAATGTTGTAGATAGTGGTCGTAGCATCAATTTGTCTTATAAACTATAGTTGAAAGTCATGATAGTAGTTGTCTATGTGGGCTGAAAATGATTGTTTTAGGAGTGTTATTTGGCCATAAAGGCTGTAGTTAGAAGTTGCAATTCATATAGGCTGCAGTTGGTTACATAGACCATAGTGGTGAGCTGCGATAACGTCCATAGGCTGCATTGACCAGAGCAGGAAGCTGCACTAGCTGTGAACCACATAGATTGTAATTGGTCACGTAAGCAGTAGTGGTGAGTTGTGGCAATGTCCATAGGCTTTGGGGCTTGAAGTCTGGAGCCACACAAGTTGTGAACCATGTAGGTCGTAATTAGTCACGTAGGTCATTTAGTGATTTGTGATGATGTCCTTAGGTTGTAAGGGTCATATTTGGGAGTTGCACGAGCTATGAGCCTCGCAGGCCATAGTGGTGAGCTATGGCGACGTCTATAGGTAGCAGGGGCCGAGGTTGGAAGTTGCAGGAGTTGTGGACCATGTAAGTCATTGTTGGTCATGTAGGCCAAAACAGTGAGTTGCAATGACATCCGTAGGCCGTTAGGGCTGGAGTTAGGAGCTGCACAGAGAAAACTTTAAGAGTTTATAGAAAGTCAACATCTTTGAGGTGCATTATTACATCATCTTTGAGGATTGTTGTTGCATCGTGAGTAGAGTGCATTGTTACTTTACAATGTGTGTTGGGGTTCCACAACACACCGTGTCTTAGCAAGAAAGTGCACTGTAATGAGCAGGTGGCAGCTGATGATGATCATCGTTGGCCGATAAGTGGTGGTTGGAGTTCGGCAGAGGTCAGATGCAACGATGATTGCTTATGTTGGTTGGAGGCAACATTGGCCAGCGACGACGGTGGCTGCGGTGACCGAGGGTGGCTGTGGTGATTGCTAGAAGCGTCGACAATGGCTAGAGGGGGCAACGACCAAAGGCTGCCATATACTAGTGTTTTTCTAGCCTAGAGCCTACTTCCCTTCTCTCATGAGGGATTTGGGGTGCTAATTACAGAGTCCAAATTGCAAATAAGAAAGGTATCCAAACCACTCTTGATCGGGCGGTCAAGAGAGATCTCATTGATCAGACGAAGTTTGATGGACATTTGATTGCCTTAGTGATGTTCGCATTGAGCTATCTTGGGCTCGTTGGATTCATCTTATCGAT